AAAATGGCTCTTAGAGGGTTAAATACTAAATTCGGCACATCTACACCAACTCCTCTTTCATTTGATGTGAGTTTCATTTAAATCAATGGGCATTAAGTACCTGAAAAGTTTACGACAAAAATCATGTTTGCCTATTAATATATACGATGACATGTTGCTTTGCTAACTGATATTCGGGTTGAACATGTAACTGCAAATAGTTTTTTTTTTAATATTTCGGTTCAAGATGGCTCTTAGAGAGTTAAAAACTAAATTCGGCACATCTACACAAAGTACCCTTTCATTTGATATGAGTTTCATTTAAATAAATGGGCATTAAGTACTTCAAAAGTGTACGACAAAAATCATGTTTGCGTATTAATATATAAGATAATATCTGATGTAAAAGTGTGCAAAGTTTGTTATAAATAAAATACAGGTAATATTGTTTCAAAATTTTTAGCAGCTATTTTTACTTTATTAGGAACAATAATTAAATACAAGTTGTACGCAATAACTAAATATTAGCAAAATAATAATAATCAAAGTTTGGTACAACTAGTAATAATCCCCGAAAATCGGTGTGCTCCGTGGTCTAAAAAATCTACATATTTCTTTATTATAAAAACCACATGCATTGCTTTTGGTAGTTAAGTTTAACTTGGTATTTGGGCAAGATCGTACTCTACTCAATACGCCATGTGTTAAGCAATCATTTTGAATTGACAACGTCTAAATACAAAAGCAAGTGTTGATTCGATGGGCTGTTAATTTATATGGGATAGTATAATTCGAATCACATGTTTAAAGTCCATTAACTATGTACATATTGGTATTGCGGCATCCAAATAATTCTTTAACTATTAGGCGAGACCATTAACTAACCCTTCATATGTACATATTTAGGATTAGCATCACAACTGCTCTAACTTCTATGACGGATTCACCGTTCGTATCCCGACACTTTTTGTTAGTAATTTTACGCGTTCCTTTCCCACTCTGTCTTACTGAGAGCGCGACAAAAATGTGCTGAACACTCTTTGTTCGAATCAAACGAAAAGAAAGATCCCTTTGGCCAAATTTTCAAAATCTGGTTTACGTCAGTTCAAGCCGTTCGTCAATAGCTATCGTTTAAAATCCCCAGTAAAAATGTCCAACAGCAAAACTCCGTCGAAATAAGAGAAAAATATCCAAAATAGTACGCGAACAGAAAATTTGCAGAAACTTGCGATTTAGACGAACAGGGATAGAAATTTTATTTACATTCAAAATATACATACAATTGAAAACGTAAGAAAACAAATCCCGAAGTCTTATCCTGACACAGTTCACTGACAAAACGAACAATTACTTACTTCTTACATGTTTAATTAGTCGCATTTCCCTATTTTAATTTCCAAACCATCAAATTCAATTTTGGGACTTGCGTAAATTCCTACCAGCTCGGCCAATATCGGATATATGCGGGCGATATGAATAAACACTTGTGATTATATGACTAGTCCACAGGGACAGCGCCGTTAGGGTTGTCGGGTTTTCCGGGCATGCGAGGAGATGTTTCGAGTCGTGAGGGGTCTCTCCGCATGCCGGACATTCATTCGGCACATCCGAATTTAGCCTACTCAGGTATGAGTTTAACCTGCTGCAATAGCCAGAGCGAAGTTGGGCGATTGTTGTTCTTGTCTCCCGAGGCAGATGAAGCGCCGTCGCGTCAATGTCCGGTGTTTGTGTGCCGTTCAAGGCCTGTCGGTATGCTGACGGGTCCAGAGGCTGCTTAATGAACCTCTGGACTTCGTCTGTCAGTTCATATAGATGCCTCCTGACGTGCCTTAGAGAGGGCTCCTGCAAGCAGCTGTCTGTTTGGGTGGCCACATCTGTGGCTATTGCCTTGTATGTTGCCAGCAACGTTTCTTTGTCTTTGCCCAGGTACTGCCGGCTAGCGACTTGAGGACTTTGTTGCGGCTCTGTACTTTGTTGGCAATAGCGGTTGCGTGCGCAGAGAAGGAGAGCAGGCTGTCGAATGTTACTCCGAGAATTTTGGGGTTATTCACCGTCGAAATTGGTGTATCATCGACGTGAATTCCCAGCGGTAGCCTGACCTCCTTCGTCCAGGTGGTGAACAAGGTCGCAGATGATTTCGTAGGGGAGAGTGCTAGACACTTTGCAGTGAAGAAGCGAGAAAGATCGGAGATATACCCCTTTACTTTCGAACACAGGTCATCAATTCCATTCCCAGTCGCCATGATCGAGCAATCGACGCGTAAGAGACAATCGAGGATCCCTCTGGTGGTTGAGGGAGCTTTGATATATAAAAGTTGAACAGTAACGGGGAAAGGACACCACCCTGTGGAACCCCCTGTTTTATTTTTCTAAGTTTGCTCGATTTGTCTCTAAACATTACCGACGAGTGTCGACCACTCAGATAATTTGCCGACCACCGTTTGAGCCTCTGTGGGAGAGTGGAAGCCTCTATATCTTCTAGTAGCGTGGAATGGCTGACAGTGTCAAAAGCCTTTGACAGGTCCAACGCTACTAGAATCGTTCTCTCACAGGGACGGTTACGGTTAAGGCCACGAGTTATCTGAGTGTTTATGACGTTAAGTGCTCTTGTTGTACTGTGCACTTTACGGAAACCATGCTGATGCTTCGCTGGGGTCAGGTGGTTCGTGGACTACGGGAGCAGCAGGGCGTCAAGTGTCTTCGCTACCGGAGTGTTATCGGTCGATACGAATCTCCTTTGTTAGCAGGTTTCCCCGGTTTGAGCAGTGGGACCACTCTCCCCACCTTCCAGATGTCTGGGATGATGAGAGGGCCATAGACAAATTGAAGACCTCCGTTAGGTACGCCACTCCCGCAGGACCCAAATTTTTCAGCATCAGCATGCATATGCCGTCGGGACCCATGGCTTTGGAGGCTTTCGCCTTACCGATGGGCACCTGAATTTCACCGCAAGCGAAAGCAAGGGGGGCACAGTTTGTTGGCAGTTTGTGCAGCCTTCTGGTCACTCGACGCTTGGTTTTCTCCACCGGAGGATGCAGTATGAACTGCCGGCTAAAGTAGCTCGCGCATTGCTCCGGGTCCGACGAGGCATGGTCGCCAAAAGAAATTTCGACTCTGTCTTCGTGCTTCGTCGGATTGGACAGAGACCTCACAGTTGACCAAAGCTTACTCACACCAGAGGTGAAGTTACAGGTCTTCCGATGTTCTTCCCACTTCTTCCGCTTATGTACGTTCACTAGTTGCCGAATCTCCGCGTTGAGATCCCTGATACGGGGATCTCCGGGATCGGCCTGACGAAGGCTATCGCGCTCATCGGCTAGAACAGCCGCTTCGGCAGGGAAATTTGGACGTGGGTCCGTGATGCATCCTGCCGGTACGAAGCGAGCTGCAGCAGCGGTGACAGCCCTGCGGAACTTACGTTCACCAAGGTAGACGTCGGTTGGTATGGGGAGAGCAGCGAAGGTGTTTTCAGTAAATTCCGCGAAGCCTATCCAATCAGCTTTGGAGAAGTTGATATATGTTCGGTGCTCCGCGGAAGCAAAGTCGGTTGGTTTATCGATCGAGATGACTATGGGCAGATGGTCTGATGCCAAAGTCAGCATAGGTCGCCATGATATGCTGTTTATCAGACCAGCACTGACTATTGTTATGTCTGGCAAGCTGAAGCAGCTGCCCATAATCCTGGTGGGTGCGTCGTCGTTCATTGTGCAGAATGTCGAATCGTCTATCTGCTCAGTCAAATCGGTTCCCCTACGATCGTTTAGCAGGCTTGAGTGCCAATTTTGGTCACTAATTTATTTACAACTTGGGTTTGGAATATGCCCTTTTTTGTAAAATCGGAAATTAGAGTACATTTATCACTCCTATTCTCCTTAAAGCAGTCACTTCACCAATATATTTTTAAATTCCCCTTCACTTTACACTTTATTCGATTAGTTATAACTTTCTTTATGACTTTAATATTAACCAATTAATCATAATTCAGTAAATAAAAACACTTTGGTTGCATATGCAAATTAAATGGCGGAGTTCAGCAAAATGTGCAAAAGAATGATAGACAAAAGAAGATAGGATATAACCCACTAAGCATTAAAAATATACAAAGGTGTTCTCTGCAAAAGGTGTTCAGCTCCTTTTCTTCGCAAAACAGAAAGGAGAATTCTACTGCCTGAGGGTTATAATCCCTAAGTGCGGCCGAAGGCCGTCTACGCAGAAAGGTGTTCTCTGCAAAAGGTGTTCAGCTCCTTTTCTTCGCAAAACAGAAAGAGAATTCTACTTTGTGAGGGTTATAATCCCTTAGTGCGGCCGAAGGCCGCCTACGAAGAAAGGTGTTTTTTGCAAAAGGTGTTCAGCTCCTTTTCTTCGCAAAACAGAAAGAGAATTCTACTTTGTGAGGGTTATAATCCCTAAGTGCGGCCGAAGGCCGCCTACGCAGAAAAGTGTTCAGCCCCTCTTCTTTCGCCTGATAACCACCTTGGGATAATTTCTTTTATTTAAAAACCCCACAGATTCTGTTAGTTGGGTTATATTCTACTTCAAGCTGCTCAATTTCCCTTTGTAAATGCCGTTTTTCGCCCATTTTCAAACAGTTCCCTAGGGGTCTGTGGGAGGCCCCGAAGGGGGGAGTGCGACTTTTCGTAAAGTGGGGGCTGTCCCCTTTCGAATGGGCCACGCCCCTCCCCCTCCGCCCCACACCCCAAAAACGTCCGGCAAATAACTAAACATTTCCCCTAATTTTACTTGGCTAGAACTGCAACTAAAATGTATTTAATATATTTTGATAATAATTGTAATGTAAAACCAATGTTTTTCTAACGTTAGACACTTTGTTTGCTGGGTAAACATGCAGTTGTGCACAGTGTGCATTGCACACCCACAATATTTACGGTTAGATCGCGAAACAACAGCGCTGGATTTGTAAGCTATTACAAGTTATTCCTGGGCGTAGAACCGACAAGCATGGGCACTGTATTGAACATAGGCAAAATTTTGAGATATTATTTCCTTTAAAATGTACTTACTTTTTGAACCAGAGATAACGAAGTTCCCGCGTTCTGACTCCCATTACTTCCACTACTTCCTTCTGTTTCTAATAAGTTACATTCAGTAATCGTGTTTTCCGCTCTCCTACTGCCGTTATAATTGGGCCTACGTTGTAAACGCAATCTCATCTCCTCCTCACTTTCAATCGAAATAACAGTTCCACTTTCTGCGTCCACATCTATTATACCCCCACGTTTCTTCTGCTTAAGAAATAGTGCAGACATACGCTGCTGAAGATCTCTTAGTTCTCGTGTTAATTTAAATTCAGGCGCATTTTGAAGCTCAGATGGCGGCATGGCACAACGCAAACTATCTTCCTGATCTTTGATAGGCTCGCGACAAACAGGACATAGCGCTTGAAATGGATCAGAGGTTTTTTGAAGCCAACTTGGTAGCTTATCATATTCTTCTTTATAAGTTCGACGTAAAGCATTTAGATGTCGGCCCAAACAATAACTATGCAAATAATGAAAACATTCTGTACGTGTAAATTCGTCACCATCACTAAAACCATATAAACAAACAACACACTGGCCGCTCGGTAAATTGCTTCCCGTTAAATGTTCTCGCACCACCTCAATTAGATCAAACACAACGGGGAAACCTATGGACTCCCTCAATTTCTCGTTGCATGCTCGTTTAATAGCCTCCAAACGCGCATCATCCAAGCCACGTGGACGCAGTAGCTTATATTCAGGGCTTGTTTCTGGATAGTCGACTGTGGGAATAACTTGCAGAGTCACACATACATATTGTTCGACCTCATCACCTACTTGAGGAAACACTGTAGTTTCTATAAGTTCAGGCGCATCACTAAAATTATTTAAAACCATTTATTACGTTATAATGCATTTCAATATATTCAAACCTTTCTGGATTTCTAGTTATTTGAACATCATCCATTAATATAGCTTCCAAAGACTCCACCTCATCTCTCAATCTTTAGGTACACATTTATTTTAAAAAATACACAAATCATCAGAAAGTTATTCTACTAGGTTTTATGTTTACTTACGCGTCCATCTCAGCTTTTTCGAAGGCTTTACGGAAGTCCGAAGAACTTTTCGTATGTATATACTCTAAATTGAAAATATTCCAAGAAAATCGATTTCCTCCGCCAGCTTCAACCAAGTATTTTTAATATACAAAGGACAGTCAATTATTGTCCCTTCAATTGCAAAAACAAAAAAGTCTGCGAGTGTTGCTAACGATTGGGAAAAGTCCCTATTCAATAATCGAGTTCCCGTTAGCGCTGGGATACTATCGATGGTAATATCGAGGCACGATTACGATAACCGGGCGACAAATTTTGAACAACGACGTCGATAGAGGTTGTTTGGGGTGGGCTTTAGTAGTCAGCCGCACCTTGTGTTTTAAGAAAACCAGGTGGAATTAACAAATGAAACTTGGTCAGGATGTTAAGGGAGGTATCCTCTCAAACATGTATAACTAAAAAATATAAATAATATCATTGTTTATAAGTTATTTGTTGTTAAAATTTCTTAAGTCGTTCCACTTGGTTTCCTTAACAAAAAAGCATTTGTGCATACTTTTATATATATAAATGCACATAACACTGTACTTAATACTTTACACACTTTTCTTTTATTTTATCTTGTATATAAATCACTTTAATTAAACTTTTATCGACTTGTAAATTACATTGAATTTCACACATATTTACAATAACACATGGTTGCAAACTGACACATAACATGTGTTGCCATATTGTACAAAACAATACATACAAAGAAGGCAATGATTAAAGAGGAATACAGGGGAAATCAATACAAAAGAAAATGTTCAGCTCCTTTTCTTCGCAAAACAGAAAGGAGAATTCTATTGCCTGAGGGTTATAATCCCTAAGTGCGGCCGAAGGCCGCCTACGCAGAAAGGTGTTCTCTGCAAAAGGTGTTCAGCTCCTTTTCTTCGCAAAACAGAAAGGAGAATTCTACTGCCTGAGGGTTATAATCCCTAAGGGCGGCCGAAGGCCGCCTACGCAGAAAGGTGTTCTCTGCAAAAGGTGTTCAGCTCCTTATCTTCGCAAAACAGAGAGGAGAATTCTACTGCCTGAAGGTTATAATCCCTAAGTGCGGCCGAAGGCCGCCTACGCAGAAAGGTGTTCTCTGCAAAATGTGTTCAGCCCCCCCTTCTTCGGCAACACAGAAATAATAATTCTACTAAGTAAAAATTCCGAATTAAAAATCCGCTTTTATTATTCAAAATGCCAGTCTGGTAGCACTAAGTTGTATGTTATTTTGCTATCTTATTCATCGTTTATATGAAAACTTTAACAATAAATTATATAAGAACTATAAGGTTGCTAGAAAAAAGGGGGGTAGTTTTGAAATCAGGGGGTCCTATTCTACCCTCCCTCATCCCCCCTTTTTCTAGAATTTGCCGTCCGTCTACTAAAATTTTCCCGTTGTTTGAAGCAAGTACAACGGCATATTTTTTATTTATTTTTGATGGGAAGCGAAAACTACAGGAGTTACCAAGGGTCAAAGGTCAAATTCCTATATTTTTATTTTTTAAATCCAATATCTCGAAAACAAAAGCACGGATTTCAAAATTCTGTCATTCAATTGGAAATATAAATGCCTTTAATAGGATACACAAATTTCCATACATCTTGTACGGGTATAGCAACAATTCTATGTAACTAAACAAAGTTACACAACCTGGAGGAAGGTCAGGCTACCGCTAGGAATTCACGTCGATGACACACCAATTCCGACGGTGAATAATCCTAAAATACTCGGAGTAACATTCGACAGCCTGCTCTCCTTCTCTGCGCACACAACCGCTATTGTCAATAAAGTACAGAGCCGCAACAAGGTCCTCAAGTCGCTAGCCGGCAGTACTTGGGGCAAAGACAAAGAAACGTTGCTGGCAACATACAAGGCAATAGGCCGGCCGGTTTTAAACTACGCAGCACCAGTGTGGTCGCCGGGGACTAGTAGGACGCAGTGGACGAAGCTACAGACGGTACAAAATACAGCACTTAGGACAGCGACAGGATGCCTCCTGATGTCACCAGAACACCACCTCCACGATGAGGCGAAAATGCTCCCAATTAGGGAGCACAACACGATGCTCTGCAAGCAGTTTCTTGTTGGGAGCCACAGATGTGGCCACCCAAATAGACAGCTGCTTGCAGAGGAGCCCTCGCCGAGGCACGTCAGGAGGCATCTATATGAACTGACGGACGAAGTCCAGAGGTTCATTAAGCAGCCTCTGGACCCGTCAGCTCATAGACAGGCCCTGAACGGCATTCACAGGGACGCAGTCTCGAGTTATGTAGACTCAAGACCTGTGAATGCCGTTCTAGGCACACAAACACCGGACATTGACATGACGGAGCTCCATCTGCCTCGGGAGACCAGAATGACAATAGCCCAACTTCGCTCTGGCTACTGCAGCAGGCTAAATTCCTACCTGTGTAGGTTAAATGCGGATGTGCCGAACGAATGTCGGGCATGCGGAGAGACCCCTCACGACTCGAAACATCTCTTCGCATGCCCGGAAAACCCCACAACCCTAACGGCGTCGTCCCTATGGACTGACCCCATAGAGGCTGCACGCTTCTTGGGGCTGCCGTTAGTGGAACTCGACGACAACGACTAAGATATCAGCCGATCTGGGTGGGGTTGTTGTAGCCGCTATAACAACAACAACAACAAATTAAAAAAACACATGATTTTAAAAAAATTTTAATTAAATTTGTTTAAAAATTGTATAATTCAATATATAGAACAAGCTTTCATTTGGTATACAACATCATGTCTTCAGTGCGTACTGTGCAGAGTGTTTAAAAAAAGTCTTGTCGGACCAACACGGTCTACGCTATCCACGGTATTTTTGTACAAAACCTTTTTCTGTGTAGGCGCCCTGCGGACGCGCTTAGGGATTATAACCCTTACTACGCAAAATTCTCCTTTCTGTGTTGCCGGAGAAGAGGTGCGGAACTTCCCTTTGCGTAGGCGGCCTTTGGCCGCGTTTAAGGATTATAACCCTTACTACGCAAAATTCAACTTTCTGCGTTGCCGGAGAAGAGGGGCGAAACTACTTTCTGCGTAGGCGGCCTTCGGCCGCGTTTAGGGATCATAACTACGCAGAATTCTCCTTTCTGTGTTGCCGGAGAAGAGAGCCGGAATCTCTCTATGCGTAGGCGGCCTTCGGCCGCGCTTACGGATTATAACCCTTACTACGAAGAATTCTCTTTTCTGTGTTGCCAGAGAAGAGGGGCAGATCTTCTATCTGTGTAGGCGGCCTTCGGCCGCGCTTTGGGATCATAACCTTTACAACTCAGAATTCTCCTTTCTGTGTTACTGGAGAGGTGGGGCGGGACTTCTCTCTGCGTATGTGGCCTTCGGCCGTACTTACAAATTATAACCCTTACTACTCAGGTCTCTCCTTTCTGTGTTTGCCGGAGAAGAGAGGACCTTATTTGAATGAACTATAATAGGTGTAAGATTGTCACTTGCTTGTAAACAAAATGTATTTAACATAAGGTGTGTACTCGTACGCCTAACTATCTAAAGTTTTAGAAAACTTTTACTGGTTTTGCGTTCTCGTACCCCAAAAACTTGCAAAGTAGGGGAAATTGAGAGAGCAAAATGTGAAAGAGAGCTGTAAATTTCTGCTGGAAAAATTTTTCCCAGCTAAAACTTGCAAGTAAGAAAATCAGCTGATCACAAACACATGTTTGTAAATAAACAAAAGAAAATATGGCCTTTTTGAGTTATTTATTGCAAATTTTATTATTAATGCTAGTATACAACGAAAAAGTGAGTAAATTTAATATGCACAACGTTTGTTGTGTTTATTTTTCGCTAATTTGCTATTAATCTCCAGTTTGTTTACTTAAGTGTGTGCTGACTACGGTTGCCGTATGACATTTTTCATTTGTACCATAATGTTACGATTATCCTTGAACCCTCGTCCGGATTACCCAAATATGCTC